TTAAGTTAAGTGTTGCAGAGATGACGATGCTCATGTGGATGAGCGGCTTTACTCTTAGAGACAGGATACGAAATGAGCATATCATATACGTGAAAAGGTTGGAGATGATAATGGTGCTGATGTCGGCCATAAAATTATAATAGATAGATGAAAAAATTTTGTATTAAAAAATTATTTTAAAAAGCATTAATAAAACTATCTCAAATGAAACCTTAATGACACTAAAAATTGATTGTGGTCCTGATTGGCGAATGTTGTGGTGCATAAATTATAAAAATTAAAAAAAATATAAATATGTTGTATTTTAAGTCAAGTAGAGCTGAACAGAACTTTAAAATGAGTTTATTTAGACTTTGTTTGGGATAGCTTTGCTTTTTAGTAGGGGTGTTAATATATTTGACACGGTCCGAAAATCCAACCCAAATCCGACCCAAAAATTAATCTGGCTCGGGTCAACCTGAAGTTAGGAATTTCGACCCATTTGTAAAATCGGATCGAGTTCGGGTTGACCCGGAAACTCGAAATCAACCTGATTTGATCCGTTTTTAATTGATTTAAGAGGTTTTTAGAAGATTGTTATGAAATAAGTAAATGATATTTCCAAAAAAATAATAAACCATATTGCCCAAGCTGACTTATTTTAAATTGATTGAAGTAAATCTTATCTTAATTCGATTTAGATATAACTAAATCAAATTAAACAAAAATATTTTAGTAAAACATACCCAAAGCAGATTGGGTTTGGGTTGACCGGACCCGAAATAGGTTGGATTCGGGTCCGAAAAATCGACCCGTTGGCAAAAATGGGTGGGATTAAAAAGTGCCGTTCAGATTCGGACTCGAACCCGACCCAAAACCCAATTTTGACAGCCCTACTTTTCAAGCCTCAACACAACCATAATTTTTATTTGGCCACCATCTTTTTCTTGCCTTTTATTGCTTTAAAAAATTTTGAGAGTTGTAGCTATTTTCTACATCAACTTTAAAAATTATTTTCTTCACTATATTTTTTGCAAGAATATCAACCTGAACACAGCCTTAAAAAATTGCATTGCTTCTTATTCTTAGACTCTATAATAATAAGATATATATGAAGATTGCATTATTTCTTATTCTTAAACTTATTTTATGCTGTTGGTTTCACTTTATTTATGTGAATCTTACAGCAATGGGTGTGGTCACCACATGCTTGCCTGAATCCCACACAATCTTACCTCTTCTTATCATGTCACTCCCCTGGCTCGGATAAGCACCATTCAAGGCAAAGTTGATGCTGTAGCTCACCTCCTGATCCAACCTCGTAAATTGAAGCTTATAAGTCGAGAGATAAATCGTTACCCCCACCGGCTCGGTAATCTTAGCCGAGTAGTCCTCTCTTGCATCCCCCACATTCTTTACCGTTCTGCCCACTGTTTGACTCGTCGCTAACCTCGTTAAATTGACCGCGATTGACGGGTAATTAAGTTGAGACGCAGTTAGATATTGAACACCATTGCAACTCGTTGGTTTTCCGATCGTATATTGGACCTCAAAGTCACTGTACCCAAGGCCACAAAGATAAGCGATGTAGTCGTTCAAGGTGAGCCCAAACACAAGGCCTGGGTCCATGGCCTTGATCGGGTTAACCTGACCAGCCCCCGTAGCATATATTCCTGCAGTTTTGTATGAGTGATCATCAACGATGAGATTGCCAGAAGCTGAGTCGTCTGCAGTTGTCATGATCGCTGATATGATCTCGGATGGGGTCCACCCGAGGTGCTTGCTCCTCACCAATGCCGCAATCCCAGCTACGTGTGGCACGGCCATGGAGGTTCCACTGTTAAAGTTGAATGTGTGGGTCGCCAATGGATCTGGATTCGGGCCAACATCTGTGAGCGAGGCGGCCAAGATGTTGACCCCTGGGGCGAGGACGTCGGGTTTGATGATCCCGCCATTCATGGGACTTGGCCCGCGGGAGGAGAAGGATGCGACGGCGGGGGAGGGAGTGAATTTGTATTGGGTGCCACGGAAGTGTATGCTAGCAAATGCGTTGGATTGGTTTTTGAAGTAGTAGTCTAAAATTTCTAATCTTGCTGGGTGGTCGACATTCGATGTCGGAAGAACATGAGCACTAGAAGAAGTGGTGTGCCCCGAGGAAGGCTTGTTTAATAGGATCATACCCTTTGCGCCAGCTTGGTATACCACCGCTCCTTTTTTCACATCACTTATTAGGCCAACCTCGCAAATCACGATTTTACCTGTGGGTGCTAGCTCATATAAATTAACAAGATAATCTATTATTTAACTACCAAACACTATATATATGATGTGTTTATTCAATAAAA